TGTTACAGTACACCTAAAAACATCACTGCTTCCAAAACCTGTGCAGCTGTTAAATTGAAGAAATTTCCTTTTTTATACAGATAGTGCCAAAAGGTCAAAAACACTGTTCCTGATGGACAGTGATTTAGACCTTGCAAATATTCCAACTAAAGGTAAAGACATAGGAAAGTAAATTCCAAGCCAAATTAAGCGTTTACATACCTTGCAGGCAAATTAGTCTGTGCTCCTGATGGAAAAAGAAGCAAACAGCAGCTACACTCTCTCCCCCCACCATCCACTCATCTTCCAGACTACATAAGACAATAAACACCCAGGCTGAGATCTTCCTCCACCTCTCCTGTGTCTCCCCCTCCTTAGTTACTTCTAAAAATGTTTTTCTCTGGGTTGATTTTATTAACAAAAATGACCCTATTATGGACAGAGAAAATTTTCCATTTATTAACTTAATGCCAACATGTTAGACGCTGTCGTTATCGATTAAAATACCAATACGGGACTTACTCTGCTGTAAGAACACCATAATACTGATGATCCAACAAAGAAAGTCAGAGACAACATGTACACAAAATGTCATGAACGGAGGTGAAACAGGTGGAGAACAGAACAGAGCTGAGGTAAGTCAGGAAAAAGGAAAGGGCAGAGAAAGTAAGTAAAACTAAACGACATGGGCAGAAACAGAAACTTTAAAAGTAAAGACAGGAACTGATGAAAGGGAGCAGATAAACCAGAATACATACAAACCAAAATGGTGCGATAAGACAGACTGAGCACGACACGAGGAGACATAATGACAGAGACAACTAGATACGAGAAAAGGGAAGAAGCTAAATGCAGCCTGAAAGTCACCAGTAACAAAAGCTAAGAAGTAAGGTCTCAATTAACAAGCATATATAATAAATTATACAGAATACACACAATTAGAAGATAATATTCAGCCTTCCAATTTTATTTGAATGGTGCCAAATCACAAAAACAGTCACCTCAAGGTGTGTTTATATTATAAGCTAAAAGACGCTAAGATAAGTACAAAATAAGCCTTGCAAATTACAATAAATGTATAGAAGAATCACAGGGATATAATACCACACCTAACAAACTATAAACAAAACTACCTTTCAAAAACGAAGAGCAGAGATTTAAATTAATCTCCAAAATATTCATGAAAAACCTCAAAACAGAAGATGACACTTTATGCATAAAAAGCAGATATTGATTCAATATTAAATGCCTGCCCCCGTGTTAATGTAATTAAATAATCCTAGACATAATTGTTGCAAAGGACACGAGTTGAATAAATACTCGATACAATAAGTTGAAGAAAACAAAATTTAGATTCTTTGATAAGAAGTAATAAAACTGTCGCTGACACTATTTGTTTCCAATAATTAAACAAAGTAGAACTCACTTTTTTCTCTTTTGTTTTTTCTTTTTGAATACTTTTTATTTTATTTGCTTCTCTGTCCTTTGTCTAGAGCATGGATGCAAGCTGCAATTATTGCAGTCATACATGTTGTAAACTTCCGTAATACAACAGGGCCACCCTAACTGTGAATCTGGATTATATGTGCAAATGACAGGAACATATTCATCTTGCACAGAGGACAAAAAATGTGTTTCTCTATTGGAAAACACTGATTGACTGTTCCTCAAATAACACAATTTAAAACAGCAGCTGGTTGGGGCTTCTGTGCTTACAGCCAGAGCTGTGTGCCTGAGAAGATCCTATCAAGGATATCCATCATCCATCATGGTGGTCATCCTGTGTCTTTCTGTGTCTGCTTTGTGTCTGCTTTGTGGGCAGAGCATTGGTTCCTCACCTGTTCTGCTCACCTGCTGATGACAATCAACGAGGCAATACTTAAGGGCAGGGCATCTACTCATCTACTCTGTGCCAGTCTTTCAGCTATCTCATGGTGGTAACCAGGCTGTATCTTTACGTCTGTGCTCTGTACTTATCTTGATTTCCTTGTGTCTTCAGTTTCTCTGCCACTTCACTGCTTAACACACTCCTAGCTCAAGTCTCTGGATGCTGGTCACTTTGGCAAAATTCACTGAATCGCCTCTCACCTTCTTCCCGTCACTCTTGGATTCTTGGAAACAAGGCTGAATGGGAAAATGGGATCTAGAAGGCTTCTAAAGAAGGCTTAGTATGCAGAATCTCAGTATTTATTCTATCGAGTACATCTAGTATCCTGCTCATGGGAGAATGGGCACCCAGCAGATCAGGAATGCCAGAATGAACAACTCACAGGATGAAAGTGGTGGCCTCCTACTCCATTCTCTGAGTGTCTCACCCCTCTTTTCCCCAGTGCGTGAATAATTATGACAGTACAGAAGGAGATCATGGAAACAGAAATGATGAAGCTGAAGATAATGGTCCTTTTTGTTTTTATCGATATAAAAATATGGAAATGTACCGATACGTGATCAGAATTATAATATTTCTGACTATCTGAAGCAAAAAAAATTTCAGATTCGAATCAAATCGAATCGTGGATCAAATTGATTCGGGAGCTTGTGAATCAGAATCGAATCGATTGTAGAAATCAGTGGCGATACCCAGCCATAGCCCCAAATGCAGACTACAGGAGACTTGAAGAAATAAAAAAGTGAGCTTCATTGCAGCTGATTCAATGCTAAAAGAAAAAATCCAAACAAAGGCTTAGAAAGTCCAAATAGCACCAGGAGGAGAAAACACACTAGGAACTAGAAAGATGGACACCAGAGGCTTTAAACACATACACAAAGTAATCATGAAGAGTCAGCACAGCTGGAGATAACAAGGCATAGCAGAATCTAGACACAAACGGGAAGGTAAAAAAATATAGACCACAAGAGGCCAAAGACCCAAATTAAAAAGACAAAGCAACAAAACAGGGCAAAGCCTAACATTAAGACGGGGACTTGACAGTAAAACACCAGAGGAACTAAAATAACGCCAGAAGGAGGGATATTTCTGACAGAACCCAGAAATCCAATAATAATCACAGGCACACTAACAAAGCTCAGCCTAAAATAATAATTAAACTAAAGCTCAAGAACAGCAATGAAAAGCAAACTAAAATGCTCAATTATAAGAAGAAGACGCGAGATAAGCCAAGAAAAACTGCAAAACATGACAGCTGCTTAATTCTCTGAGTGTTTAAACGAACTGTTAGACTGTTTCTCAGAGCTTTTCTAATGCTGTGCAGAAGGATAACAGGGATGATAAAACTAAAAATAATCAGCATCCTCTCCATCATTAGATATAGATCTTTTGTGAGATTAAATGTGCATTCAGTAACATTTGACTGAGGGTGAATTTTGACCTTCCTGTAGATGAATGCGTGAAGAGTAAAGACCCCACACAAACAGACATCCCAGTTTGGTGTAAAATGCCCTACTCTTCCTCTCATAGGAAAGCACCAGTGCAACAAGTGATCTATGCTAACCTGAACAAGGAAGTATCTTCTGCAGAACGCATTCGTGTTGATAACAGCTGATGACACTTTGCATAGGATATCACTGAAAGACCATCTGTTATCAGCCCAGAAGCTCACACAGCACACCACACATATATACACTCGTAAACAGGAGCACCACTGCACATGAAAATGGTTGGAAATGCAAAAAATGAATTTCTGCTGCAGATCCCAGAAGATTAGTTGTTCCTTTGGTACTTAAGATGACAGACAACATTTATTTATATTGATAAATATATTTCTATATAACAGTGTTTGAGGGTACTCCTTTAAAAAGTGATGTGTATGCGCACCTCACTTATATATTTATGTATGTATAAATTATATTCATAATAGGCGAGACCAGTGTTTGGTTCTCTAAACTGTGGCATGCTTGTTATCAGATCTTCAGATAGTTGGATGTTTTGCTTATATTTTCAGTAGTTTTGTTAGATGATGGTATATATTGCACTTCACAGCATTCATCTTTCAGTGACAAACATTATTTTTTTCAATGTATTTCACTTTATTTTAGGCTATCATCAGTTTAGAAAGTGTTCATGGCCAGTTTTTATTTTCTAGGATTCATTATTTACAGCAAGAGTAGATTTGCATGAAAGGAAATGGTTTGTAATGGACAGATGCAAGGTGATCAATGGCCACAGCCTCGTGCAGTAAAGATGTATCACAAGACGGTTGATCTGTTTGTCTCACTAACAAACTAAACATGGCATTTTTAGAGGGTATAGCAGCCATGGTAGTTTGTCTTGAAATAGCAACAGTAATCTCCATATTTTGACCTTTTTCTAAAAATCCATTTTCGGCTTTAATCTCGAAATATTGACCTTAAAAAAAACTTCACTTATGTGCAAATAAAGTGGCAGGTAATTTTAAATTCTATCAGCTCAACACACAGCGAACGCACAAACTGTTTGTATGCTGTGTCGCACAGTGTGTTGCTAGCTAAAGGCCCAGCTGCTGTCTTTCACAGGGAGAGAAAGAGTGAGAGATAACTTTACTCTGAGAATAGAATAGAATAGAATTCAACTTTATTGTCATTGCACATGCACAGGTACAGGGCAACGAAAGAAATGCAGTTTGCATCCATCCAGAAGTGCTTTAGTGATATAGATATATTACAATATATATTAGCAATAGTATAGATATGTAAGTATATTACAGAAATGGGTCTATTATGGTATGTTATAATGTACACGGTATGAAGTTTGTTGTGAATATTCTATAACTATAAGTATGTACAGGCTGTAGTGAGTATAAGCTATGTACAGGCTATGAACAGGATATAAATATGAAATAAAAAACTATACAGAAATCTGAGATATACAGTTATACAGAAATGTGAACTATGCAAGTTATAAACAGTTGTAGGATTAAAAATTATCGTATGTACAGAATGATTATTTACACAGAACTATACAGTAGTGCAGTTAAGATAAGTGAGATATGTGGATAATTCCTACAGAGGCTATATAAAGTGCCGGTGTTTGTGAGTGGTGGTTCAGTCCATGTTATTATTGTGTGTTTGAGGGTACGGTTGTCCATTGTGTGTGTGTGTGTGTGTGTGTGTATGTTCAGTCCATGTGTTAAGGTGGGTCAGATGTCAGGGGGCAGAGTTCAGGAGTCTGACAGCTGTGGGGAAGAAGCTGTTCCGGTACCTGGTGGTCTT